AGGCGTCGGGCGAAGCTAACGGATACGAATGGGATAATGGCACCGCGGTGGTAGAGGGAACAAAGCGGACACCGTTAAGCAGAAATTAAACATGCCGTGGGGGTCTCTCGTGGCGGGCTTAATGCGATCTTTCGCTACTTTGTCACGCGGACCTTCTTCTGTCTCGCGCTTTGAAATCGTTATGTAATGACTCATAATATGGGACAGAAAGAAATAAATATTTGTTACGTAACCAGCTTCTGATTAACTTGCCGTATTTTTAGCAAAATTTCCCGGTTCTACGGTGAGTAAACGTGGTATTTTTCTTTTTCTTTTTGTATTAATTTTTGAGAGAGAGAGAGAGAGGAGATTCTCGGTTCCATTTTTCTATTGTACTAGGTTATTCGGAAAATCATTTCGTTTTATTTTTATATAAATGAAGACGATTTTCTTATACCGAGTAAATATTTTATTTTCTATTTAATATTTTATTTTTGTTTTTACGAAATTACTTTTCGAACAACCTAATATTTCAGGTCAATCCATTCGAAATCTCCGTTCAAGGTAATTATTCTGGTATCTCTTTGGAGGAATTGTTAATTCGAAATTGTCGGTTTTGGTCGAAATATTGAGGGAAATTGGAGAGAACAATTAAGCAGAATTCAGGGTATGAGGCGGAAATACAAAACGGAGGAAAATCGTTACGGCGAAGGACGCAAACGTAGGGATAAATTCGAGTGGACGGACATCGTTAGAAGAGTCGTAAGATTCGCGTTAAAATCGTGCAATAATAAAAATGTCCGCTGCACCGTGTCCGAATAATTCGCAACGACGTTGCACCGTTGCTAACCCGACGTTCTGTCCGATTACGAAAACTTTCCATCGAATTATCGAACCGAGGAAAACGTCGGGAATAACGAGCGGGTCTCCGAATAATTTACAATAGTCGTAAATGAATAATTTAGAACACGCGTGAAGATCAAACGGGTAAAACGCGTGAAATTCTCGCGCACGGACCGACACGCTCAAAGGGACATATCGTGTGCCAAAATTCGTTACGAGCCGATGACAAAAATATTTCTAAACAAATGAATCATAAAGATGATAAAATGTGTCGTTCGATGACACTCGGTAATGATCCGACTCTAAAACCAGACTGAAAGCTCTGTTTCCGAACCAAATAAAGCGTTACGCCTTGTCGCCGAATATTGCAAGTACAGAAGCAATAATTGATCTCGTTGAACCGATGCCAATATTCAACGTCCCCTCTGTGCATATGATGTATCGGTCAAGTCGCGTATAATGAGCACGGTATGTCCCTTGAATCAATATTAATTAAAAAGCTGCGTTTCTTAAATCTCTAGTTTAGAATCTAAGCCTACAACGGGTACTCGCGTGTATATTTCTTCGATTATTCGACGAATTAATTTTTCCAAAACATACGCTATTTTTCTCCAATTTGTTTCGTTAATTTCACCAGCTATCACTCGAGAAATTTCTACGCAAATCTCGAGCTCAGAGTCTAAGCCCACACCGGGTATTCACGTGTATATTTCTTCGACTACGTGACGAATTAATTTTTCCAGAATTTACGCTATTTTTCTCCAATTCGTTTCGTTACTTTCACCAGCTATTACTCGAGAAATTTATACTGTAATGATAAAGAAGAAGCAAAGACTTTGAGAGCATCGTGCAGCCTTTTTCAACGCCGCGAGGTCGGAGTCTAAGCTGGAACTGAGTCTTTTCGTAGCAGTTTTTCTTATCAATTTTATAGATTAATTCTTTGAAAATGCCACGCGCTGTTTTTCACGTATTTGTATTATTATTTTCGCGAGGTCGATGGAGATATTTCCGAGGTAACGTAAAGGAGCGCGATCTTTACGAGCTTTCTTGGATAGGAAGGAAAGCTCGCTTCTGTTTTCAACCGCAATACATAAAATGCACTAGGATGCTCCCGCGTAAAAGGTGTAATAACAGATTTATCGTCTCTGGCCAGCACTTATTTTCTCGTATGAACGTAAAACGAGGAATAAAAGAGATTCGGGGGTACGTGCAAATCCTTGGTATAAGTAATATCACGTCACTTGGCTGCTTATGAACGAATTCCGCGGGAGATGTTAAACATTTTACGCGACTTCGCGAAGGACTATACTTTTACGATCCAGACGATGGATAATGAAAAGCAGAATTGAATAATTTAGAGGGATTTTGTTCGATGAAAATAGGTAAGAATCGACAAGTAACGGAACATGTGTTCGATCCAAATTAGAGAGCTTTCGTCTCTAGAAACTGAGAATAAAGGAAATTTTCTAGATTCTAAATCCTTTTATATATCCTTCAACCTTTTAATAGTACAAACGAAAATACATTCGATCCAAATTAGAGAGCTTTCGACTCTAGAAACTGAGAATAAAGGAAATGTCCCACATTTCAAATTCTTTCATATATCCTTGAACTTTTTAGTGATACAAACGAAAATGCATTCGATCCAAATTAACGAGCTTTCGCCTCTACAAACTGAAAATAAAAGAGATGTACTACCTTTCAAATCCTTTTATATATCCTTGAACCTTTTAATACTACAAACGAAAATGTATTCGATCCAAGTAAACGAGCTTTTGTTTCCAGAAACTTAGAATAAAGAAAATATCCTGCCTTCCAAATTCCTTGGTATATCCTTCAACTTTTTAATAATTTAAACGAAAATGCATTCGATCTAAATTAGAGAGCTTTTGATTCTAGAAATTGAGAATAAAGGAAATATCCTAGCTTCCAAATTCTTTTATATACCCTTGAACCTTTTAATACTACAAACGAAAATGTATTCGATCCAAGTAATCGAGCTTTTGCTTCCAGAAACTGAGAATAAGGGGAATATCTTGCCGTCCAAATTCCTTGGTATATCCTTCAACTTTTTAATAATTTAAACGAAAATGCATTCGATCTAAATTAGAGAGCTTTTGATTCTAGAAACTGAGAATAAAGGAAATATCCTAGCTTCCAAATTCTTTTATATATCCTTGAACCTTTTAATAGTACAAATGAAAATATATTCGATCCAAATAATCGAGCCTTTGCTTCTACATACTGAAAGTAAAGGAAAGATCCTAGCTTCCAAATTCCTACATATAGCCTTCCATCTTTTAATAGTACCAACGAAAATGCATTTGATCCAAATTAGAGAGCTTTTGTCCCTAGATACTGAAAATAAAGGAAATATCCTACGTTTCAAATTCTTTCATGTATCCTCCAACTTTTGAATAGTACCAATGAAAATTCATTCGATCTAAATTAGAGAGCTCTCGACTCTATAAACTGAAAATAAAGGAAATATCCTACCTGCCAAATTCTTTGTTATATCCTCCAACCCTTTCACGGTATCAAGAAATTATTATAATCCGTTTCTCAAGGAAAATTCGCCACTAATTCTCAAGTGCATGTGCGTTACAGGAAAAGCAGAATTTAAGACGTTATCATTTTGCTCCTTTCACCAGGATGGAAAGGAAAACAGGTAAAACGTAACTTCCAATAACGCAATCCGTTTCTACTAATTTCCAGCAACCCTCAACTTCCATTCCCAGGATTACTCAAGCTGCATCGGGTAAGCGATTCAGTGTTTCCTTAATTGCGGAACGAGGAACGGAAGAAGGCACTTAAAGATTTCGCTACGCCAACTCGGAATTTAATCAGCTATAGCTATGGAATGAAAAGTTGAAAGAGGATCGTAAAGCCTTTCGGGAAGTCGTCGATGACAGGTATTCCACGTCTGAATGGCATTTTATCTGTTCTAGAAATTCATACGAGTCCTGACCGAGCGAACAAGCCAGACGAACAAAAGCGTGTCAATGCCGTTTCACCACGATAATTATCGATCTCGACCACTGCACCCACGGGTTACGCGTTATACACCATGATTACCATTTTACTTTTTAACGAACTCGCCGCGAGAACAACGTTAACTATGCCTCCCGTTGACCCCAGCAATCGTGTTTATCTTATAGCAGAATAGCCTATTCGGTAAACGCTATAAAGAAAGCTTTGCTAAATTGCGATTACACATCCACGGTCCTATCTCTGATTGGTGAGAAAGTCAAGCTGCAGACAAGAGCGCGATCCTTTGCAAAATTACCACTACCATCCACTGTCATTACCACTACCATTACCACTACCATTACCACTACCCTCACCATCGTCACACGATTGTTCTGAACCCAGAAAGAATTGGAAAAACTCACAGTACCGATTCCGGAAAGGAATAAATAAAATCACCACACGTTGTCTCCGACGTTAAATTTGCACTTTCGAATTGGAATAGCCCGAAGGAGAGTTTCTACCTCTGAAAAACCGCCGATGTATACAGCTCGAGGCCGGAATACGCGAAATGCAGATAGGAAATTCAGCCAGAGGGTAGTAGAGCAAGGGGCAGCGGAATATCGGACTCGCAGCTGCGTTAGGGTGAAATTTCCAGACCCAACCTCGCGGTCAATTTACAAGTTGCGAAAGCGAGTCGTGACATGCGAAACTGTTGTTTGTCATGTGATGAGGGGGTTAATTATCGCGGACGAAACGACCCCGTGTACGAAGCTTCGCGCAAGAACGTTCACGTGCCGAGCGAGCGTAGCGAATAATATTTTCCATGCAACATTCCCTTCGCGATCAAATATAAGCATCGGAAGCCTCAGTGACACGCGTTGATTTTCGTTAATGCGGACGTTGAACGCAGGTGATGGAGAAATATATATATATATATATATATACACGAGACTGTCCAAGCAGGGAACGCGTGGCTCGTAAATTTCCGCGGAATTTCGAGAATCGCGGCGTGAAAGCTGGTTGTAAATAGAACAAATAGGCACTCGAGCGAAGCGAGGATCTTCGCGGCGATGATAGCGAGGGGCGACATTTTAAATACTCGACATACTAGGGACCTTGGATGGGAAAGTGACGGCAGAATTTTAACGAGATTACCCCATGCGTTACCTCTTCCTTCGTAGATAAAGGAATCATCCAGCATGACTTACTGAGGCGCTGCGTATTCTCATGCTCGGAGCCTCCTCTTCCTACGTGGTTACATAATTTTTACACCGACAGGACTCGGGACGGGTTACACGAGCACGTTACACGAGCATGGACACCGTTTTCGTTTCTCTTCATCACTTAGCAACGACGCCGGCGTTGCTACCTCGTTGCACGGTTGCTTGCCTCTGCATGCACGGCGCGGCGTGTTCGATAAAGGAAAGGCTCGCACGTGAACTCGAGTCGCACGGATTTCGCGGCGCGTTCAGCCGGGATCGTGGTTCGAGGTGGGCAACATCAAAAATAAAGTCAAAGCGGCCGTAAGCGTCGCGGTGTCGTCTCGGCGTGAAAACCGGCGGCTACGCGAGGAAGCGGAGAGGAAGAAGAACAATAAGCGTGAACAGAAAGCGTGGGTGACGATTCAACAGGAGTGTGTGTCGTCAACACGTGTCCGTGTTCCGATCCACCGTCGATCATGCCCGCTCACCTCAATCCTCCACGCGCGGCGGTGTCGTTCGATCTCGAAACGAGCAGAATTCCATTCGATGGCAGCTAGTTATCCTCTTTCTCTCTCTATCTATCTCTTTCACGCTCTCTCTCTCTCTCTCTCTCTCACACACACACACTCTCTTTTCACCTCGTGCAACTCGAACCAAGTTCGAAATAAACCGTGAGGGTAAACCGTGGCTCCACCACGTACACACGTTGCCGGTCGGTCCGACACTGATCGTACACTGACTACTTGCTGCGTGGCCTCGCAGCGGGAGACGGAACTCCCAGTGGGGGTAGCGGCAGGAAATGGAACGGGGGGAAAAAGCTTGGAGCGAAGGGCAAGAAAGGGAAAATATGCGACGGAGAAAGCCCGAAGCAAGGGAAAAAAGGGAACGATGCCCTGTGTGACGATGGTACACAGGGAGTGCGTTTTCACAGGCATTTATTTGGCTTCACGGAACCGGGCTAAAATTCCGCTCCCTGTCTTTGCCTCTCTGAGTACGTACGTCTGGGGCTCCGCAGGATCGAGAACCGTAATTTGCGAGGTGAAACTTGCACGGTAACTTGTTTATCGAGTACATCAGCGACGCGGGAAATTACCGTGCTGGAAATCCTTGGTTAATTATCTCTTTATTTCTCCCTTTTTCGTACAGCCAACTGGTTTTATTTTACATTCTCGAGTTACTTGAATGCACGGAAAGAAAGGAGAGAATCTGAATGTTAATTTATGTGATAATTTGTTATTTATATATCTGATACTCCGACGACGACGCGTTAAAAATATCGTCGTCGATGGATAGACGATTGACATATTTCCAGATTCCGGTGTTCGGATTGGTTATTAATAGGAACTAGCGTGGATATCGATTTTTAAGCGTTTCGCTCCTTCCTTTGGTCCCATTAAACGAATAGACTCGGCGCTACGCGGTTAGTTTAACGTAATAACCGTTCATGGATTATTAATATCGATTTTTTAATTTCGCGGGTAATACTTCCGTTCCGCGGTCGGATGATGCGGGTATCGATTTTTCCACGTTTCGCTGTTTAATATAACGGACCGGCTGCTTCGCGATTAATTTCACGCGATAATCGTCGGTGGATTATCGATATCGGTGCTTCATTTGTTAGGATACTTGGGTTTCATAGACGGGTCTTACGGCAACGCAATGCGGTCAAACATGCTGAAAATAAGTTGGCATTTCAAGACACAGCTGAAGTACAGGATCATTAACTTCGTCCTAATATTAGATTGTTTAAATATTTCGAAGCAAAGACTCGCGTTCAACGAGTGCGACACGAACTTGTTGGTTCGAGAGATCGATGACAAATTCGATCGCCTATGAAGAATAATCGCGGTCACGTGAATCGAAATCGTTGCTTTTAATTCTTACAACGATACACCTGCCATCTTCTGTTTCTTCAAAAACGTCCCGCTTGCTTGCAATTCTTGCCCATTCCGTGAATCAAAATCTCTCCAAAGAAGACGAAAAATGACAGAAAGTATCCACCACTGAGGATGTACACCAGATTCCGCGTGTAGGACGATTTGGATAAACTACTGAACCTCATGACACGAGGATGCTTATTGATGAACTTCCCGATGTAGTCGTAGTGCCATTTTCTCTTAATACCGGCTATATGCAGACGCATTATGATCTCCACTATCCGATCTCTGTACGGCGTGTGTTTGCTCATGAAGTTCGCGACCGGTGGCTTCGCGTAGCAGAGATTCTTGCAAATTTTCATGGTAACCAATCCCCTACGTGCTTCCTGGTTGATGGCTATGTTCGCTATCTCCGAACTCGAGAAGCAGGTGACGTTCCTGTACCGCTTCAAGTAAAGCATGCAATCACCGATTTCGCTGATGGGGATCACCTTCTTCTTCAGCGAAAGAAAAGATGGGTCATCGATGAGAAAAGTAGCGTTTATGAGCGGATCGAAGACAGCGGGTGTCAACCCAGACTCGTCCAGCTCCTTGAAGCTCGTGTACTCCGTCTGTGTTTTCTCGTTTATGCTCATGGTGGTCAAATCCAGGTACAGACCAGCCGAGAATACCGACGAAGGCAACATGACGTAGAAAAATATTAGCTTCTCCTTGGTCCCTTTCGGCTTCATCGACACCGAGGTGGAGATCAGCAGACCAAAGATCTTCAGCGGCTGCCACGAGTTCGAGTCGAATTTCAAAGCTCTCGATATTCCCCAGATTATCAGGAAAGCCACGCAGTTCACGCCTATGCCAACCATAGCTCCTTTACACGAGTTGTTGTACGTGTACGTGATCGGTACCACCGGACACCAAGTCTCGAAGTCTAGCGGCAACGTGTAATCGATATCTGTCAATCGGTCCTGCGCGAACACTGACAGTGTCGTGACTATTATGTCAATTTCTCTGCTCATTATCTGGTTGAACAGATCTTTATCCAGCTTCTGGTGTACGAAAGTGAAATTCATCACACTGGCGAGTACCTGGGCGGTCTGTATGTCAGGGTTCGTCACCGAGTGCCCTGGCATCTCCTTTGGCAACCAGAGATGGCCCTCGCGCTTTATCACTGACCCCACGACCGGATAACCGTGGAGATTTCTTAATTTATTCGGAAACAACTCTATACCGGGAACAAAAGGCTGCTGGTCGTAGGAATTCGTGAACGGATCGTATCGATGAACCTCCACGGCGTTCTCGCGGCCATCGAGCTTCGAGATCTCTAAAATCGTCACGTCGATGAACCGAGCGTCCCACGCTTGCTTGAAAAGCGCCTCGAAATTGCAATTTTGCTCCTCCAACATGGTTATTATCAGAACCTTTGGACGGTTGCCGTTGGACGCGATCACGCGCATTATACCATCCCTTTGTTGCAGATCCGGAGGACCTTCCGCGATGAAGAGGTACAGGATCAGCGTTGCGCGAAATACAACGAGGGGTGGCAGTTCCTCGAGCATCGAGTCGTTCAGAGAAACGTAATTCGTCGGTACGACTCGAGCCACGGTTTTATAGATACTTTCCGCCATTTCGAAATTGCTTCCTGAAGGACTGTGCACGATAAGCTGCACGTTCGAAAATCTCGTTTCGCGAACAACGTCTTCGATGTGTCGATCGATGATCGCTAAATGTCTCGAATGATTCATCTGCTGAAGCGTCAGCAGGTATATCGGCAATAATTTCGCGATCATGCCGATTTTTCTACGATTCTGGAAGAATAAAGGCGGTGTTCAAGATGGCGTTCTTTGGAAAAGTGAATTATCTCGTACTTACGATCGAGGAATTCAAAAGATAAGACTTCTGCTGCACGGAAACGCTGAAAGAGTTGCGAAGCTTAAACGCAGAGTAGATGCAGCTGACTAAACGCAATACACGTTCCTCTTTCAGTGCCTAACGTAAAAAATTTCATTTATCTTAAGTGCAGTAATAGCATGCATAAATTATGTTCGCGCCACAAATAAAAGAAGCGTATTGATCTAACGATGCGTTACACGTCGAATGCTTTTAGCATTAATGCTATTAGAGATACTTTTAGAGATAAATTAGCCGATTAATGTACGCGTCGAAACATGGACAAATTTTTAATTAGCGACTCACGCGAGGCGACACGCATTGCGTGTATGACGTTGTTTCTAGACATTGTTTTTCCTTTACGATTCAACTTCGACAGAATTTCATTGGTACATTCCATAGCCGGTAATATCGATGGAACGCGAGTCAATAAATCCTATTCAATTTTGAAACGCTGAACACACGGGTAAAATGATGATTCGTGTAGTTTTATCGTCGGTTTCGCTCTTGCTACGCTTAAAATTAATTATTTTACCTGGATTTCATCATTTCGCTGGATTTCTGCAAAATATTCCTTACAAATTCGTGAAAATATTTCCTCTGGAAAACATCGAGGTCTGGATTTATTTGCGACGACTGAAAAGGAATGTCCAAAGGACGCGACGCTGAATGTCCCCCCAACGAAGAAGCGTTTAATCGCGCTGAAACGAATATTATTTCAATAGGATCGAAGGATTTCTTTCGTTAATGAATTTCATCTGCAGGTAGTGCGCAGGCGGAATATTCAATTAAGTTTGACAATGGTTTCCATTTATTGGTAATTTGCAAGCCCGATGCAAATTTTATTGACCATAGCCTAGAAACGTATAAATCATCCTTGAGGATGCATTACCCTCCGCAATTATGATAATTTTATTAACCGTAATCTTTTATTAACCGCAATTGCACTCTCTGAAACAGCTCAATGGCGCCGACAAATTATGCTGATTAACACCCCTGTATCTTGAAATTGTTTGCTTCCAATTATAGGAAATTAATTCAAGGCCACGAAGAAGATTGGAAGGACGTCGAGGAGGCGAAGCTCGCTGAATCGGACGAGATGGTTTAATAATATATAACCGTGTTCGAAGTGACTCTGCGGCGATCGTGCACCTCCATTTTACCGATCATCGTGACAGCGAGAGGTTGGAAATAAGTCCTTAGTATTCGCTCCAATAATTAATTAGTCGTTTATTTCTTCGTAAGTTATTCGACAATGATTTGCCATTACAAGTAAACGGATAGAACGTACGAGAAGAGGCCATTTTGTAAATCGAATCTGTAAGTTCGTTAAGCGTATAGAGACACGTTGCCCTCGGTTTAGCCGCGAAATTTCGAATGGGGAAAATATCCCGAAAGAGAATACCAAGCAACGATGAGATAGTGATTGTGCACGATACGAGTATATACTTTTGCGTAATCATCACGAGTCGGACGGACATCATCAGGAAGAGAGACAATATAAATAATACTCCACTTATTCGAGTACATATTGCGTGACGTATAAACAAATGAGGATGACGGTAAAGAAGAATAAATGCGTATAAATTACGTATAGAGCGGTAGAATAGGAATACAAGTATTAAATATACACGTTTGGCGATCTGAAAGCACAGCGGAATGTACGCGGATTGCAATGTCCGGTGTTTCGAAATTATCTTATCGAGTAGCCATAATGAAGGTTAACCTTTATACGTGTTACGTTGAACATATATTATGCATCGTTCCTAAATTACGAACATCGACAATGCGCGCGACGTCCCGGCGTTTTCTTATTTCCTGACCAGGACTAGAGAGAAGCATGAAAAGAGAACGAGGACGACGTTGGCCGCGTAAGTGGCGGCGCCATTTCCGTTCCAACAGGCGTTCAGATTGCACTGTTTGAGAACCGGATTGTACTTTTGCTTGAAGTATTCCCAATCGCACAGGCCCACGTCGCATCCGTCGAGCAGGACCAGCTTCTCGGCCAAGTAAAACATGACTTTGTTTGGCTGGCTGCTGCTGTCGCATCTGCGAATAAATATAGAAACGCTTTGGGACCAAGTGCACTTCGCTTAACACAGTTATGGTTTTACGAACAACCTCCAGACAGCTTTCGGTGGCTTTTATTAACCGCGTGATAAACCGTGGTCTCGCGTGACACGAGGATTTAATGCCAGAATTTTCAGACGGCCGTGAAAAGCTGACTTATCTGGGAAATCTTAAAAATCGCTAGTTTCGCGGTTAACGAAGACACGTAACTGCTCTTGACGAAATTAACGTTGACACGATGACGTCTTAGGACGATGGAAACGCGACTACTCGTGAGCTATTCGTCTTCGTTGTATCACGGTAATTATTGCCACCGGTGTGTAATATATTTAGGTACTCGTTACAGGTCTCGACGTTAATAGGATAAAATGAGGACTGCTCACTTGTAAAATACAGCGACGATATTCGCGGCGAAGGGTGATATGAAAGACGTTCGCCACTGACGTTTCGCCATATCCTTGTAATTATAAGCGGTCAGTTGCATTTGGTCTTTGTTAATGTTCAGCGTGGTCAAGAGATTCTGCAGGCTTATGATATCGCTGAAGTAAAACACGCCTCTGGGCTCGTTCGAGTCTCTGTCCTGTTCCACTTTCCTAAAATATTCGAAATGGTCATTCGTAGAGAAGAACGGGCATTTATTTGCGAAACAGAGGTGCCGCGCGACAATGCGAAAACGGTACCGCGAGATTGGCAGCTGCTTGCTGAGAAAACAAAGAATATTACCAAAAGTGATTCATCATGTCTTGCAAAAGCGTACATCCTAGCTGAGCATTGATTTCACGTCCATATCCGGCTTTGTAATAATAGTAGAGATCTTCGCGATACTCTAGCACACGAAGCTCTTCTTTGCTGAAAACGGCACACCAAGGTGAAAGTTGCGTCACTGTCCAGGCCTTTTCGTAACGGCACATGTCGTACATCGTTAGAATGGATTCTGGGAAATAAAATGCTGGATAAACCGAACGGAAATAGATCAAACTGGTCTTTTCATAGATCCGAAACTCACCTCTGGAGATGTCGTACAAGAATCCGAGTCGTCGACTCACGTTCTGCAGCAGGTCTCTGAATTCCGGGCCTTCCTCGAACCTCATTACCTCCTCGACGGAGATATTGCTGTGCTCGTTGTCCCATACGTTACAGGATTTGTACATCTGGTAAATATTAGTGCCGAGAATTAGCTTTCTATTTCTCCACCGAAGAAAGCGAATGGAGAAACAGAGAATAAGGAAAAATTACGACTATATTCTATTCGCTTACCGTCAGTAAAGTGTCATTTATAGGCACTTCCTCTGCATCCACTGCCTGTCTGTTCCCAAACAGTCCCTCCATGAAGGATTCCATGTCACGTGTATCGGTTGTCTTGAACTGGAATTATCCTCCGATTAATAAAATTGGAAAATTTTTCATTCATCTGTCATTGAATGTCAAAAGAAAAGAAAAGAAGAACACGTACCATGTAGTTCTTCGCGGTTACGTTCTCGTCTTTGGCTTGCAGAAGCTGAAGGAAATTGCTTTGCAATCGTCTGGCGAGCAATCTCATATCTTCCACACCCTGCGGTGTCAAAATTTCCGCTCTTTCGATTACGAGATAATCGTTAGGCTTCCATCTTTTCAAGTTCTCCAGGTCCCTGTTGCACATGCGTCCGTCTGCGGAAAAGAAAATCGCGTGGAAGGACGCGCGGTGTTGCACGTAGGAAGGACGATCCGGCTTTTAGATTTAGAAAGCGAGTCTCGGCTTTTCGAAAGATCGACGACCCGAGATTAGCCGTGTTCCAGTTCGGGGAGACGCGTTCTGCGTGAACCCGATAAATCTAGGGTTAACTGCTGCAAATGTGACTATTGATCAACATGTAAAACGACTCGTGGCGAAGATCGATACGAAAAAGTGTCAATGACCTGAATTAGCGGCTAACTGGTTTACCAGCGTTTGCTTTAACGGGAACACCTTTTTCTCGGAACTTTCCCGATGAATAATGAAACTCGGGCGCACGTAAGCGGTGTCAATATTTTCAGCTGTACTTTCAGCGATTTTCAGCTTACGCTCGTTCTTATCTTATCAATATCTGCCTTCCTAAAAATACCTCACACTCACTGTTTCGTGATTCGTGGTTGTTAACTATCTGATCCTGCAGGTCCGTCAGTTTCAGCATTTCCATGATCTCTGGCTCGGTCGGGCATCGCGTACCATGCGTGGCGAACATCCACACTTGCTCTGCACGACAGTCTACGAAATGATTGAGAGTAATTGAGAAACTTCCCGTTGAATGCTCGATCGGGTGCCGATCGATTTCTCGAAATTATAGCCTACTCACTGGGCACGTCCTGGAACCGTGTTTTGCCAGCGTGAACAAAATGGTAGGCCGTTTTAGTGGCCATGTACAGATACGGATCATCCTCGTCGGCGAAACAGAAGTCAACGTCACGCGCGGAAACGTGACTGATTAAGAAAATCAAGAATACCACTGGCGCGATCATTTCGGAAATCTCGGCGTTCTATCTGCAACGAGAAAGCAGAGATTAAACGAATCTTCCACGAAGGACAATTTCGTACTTATATTTATTTCTTTGTACTTAATTTTATCCCTACGAATCGGCCAGGGAGGCGTAATTTTTCATTCGTCCCTTAACTCTCGGAATTCATAAAGCGCTTTGTTTCAATAAAGCACAGCAAGCAGTAAACCTACATTTTCCTGTGCTGATGTCACGTGTTACTTTACTACCGGTTTCGCGAATTACAATCGACTGCACACTGAATAGACTTTATGTAACAGGATATTTATCCGTTTCTTTTTTCCATTTTCACGGTTAAGTAAAAAATCTGAGTAGGGAATTATCCAAGCGTTCTTCAGCCTTACGTAATCGTAAAATCCATATTCGCGGTTACCATAGGATTGAAACGTTGAATGGACTATAGACACGCGTTTTGGAAAAAGAGTCTTAATTCGAGGAAATTTGAGAATAATATTAGACGTGGTTTATATCTGTGCGAAGTTGAGAATTATTTATAGAAAATTTGCCATTTCCAGGGCGTTTTATTTTTCCTGCAGATTACGTGGATTGCAGGTATTTCCAAGGTAACATAAATTTTCCTCGGTCGAGCTAATTAGAGGTATCAGTGTCGTATACTTTTTCATCGCATCACTGGTAATTTCAGTCCTTTCCGCTGTCTTGGAGGGGCACCGGCGTTTATGCTCGTTTTGCTCACAATAAAAGTTTTTACAAGTTCCCTCACGTTCTCTGAAACGTTGAACTACGTGTCCCGTTCTTTTAATCAAACGTTGCCCGAAGTCCAGAGCGGCGAATTTAATTTTGCCCGCTGGGATTTCGAATTATTTAACTCGAAGGAAGACGCGTTACCTACCGTGGAATAGATATTCCTGCACCAAGGTTAAGGATAGATGTAAAACGTGAATGTGAAAGTTAAGATGTGCTCACGCATTACGCGTACAAGCGGCTTTATTGCATAATTCGCGAGTAAGAAACAGGTTCTGCTAAAGCTCTAGTCTCCGCTGTACCAATATTATTCTTGCGTCCAAATTCGAAGCGTGACGTTCGTTCCGCTCTTATCGAGATGCATCTTCGAGATTCGCACTCGGAGATGCTAATTCCTCGCGCACCGATTTTCGCTAAAAAACCACTTTGCGCGTCTCAATGCTCAATAAACGGTAATTAAGACCATGTACTTCTGCAAACAAGAATGCACACGATAATAAATGTATCCCTGACAATTACAGGGAAAATTGTGCAAATTTGTATTTATAAAACCGTGCGAATTTTAGGAATCTTACGAAATAATTTCAATATATTCTTGATAATTACAGGGAAATTGTGCAAATTTGTATCTGTATAAAACTATGTGAATTTTAGAAATGTTAGGAAGTAATTTAAATATATCCCTGACAATTATAGGAAA